GGTATTCGCATGGATCGTCGGCACACTGGTTCCTTCTGTGGAGCAGTGTCGTTTTGGTTACAGTTTCGAATTGAATAATTCTGTGAGACTGACCCTCTCTTTCTAGAAAAGCCAACGAATTTTACTCCAAAGTAGTACTTCACGTTCCTTATTCTCGCTACTCTTACCTTCACTTCTTGCTGATGGAACCTCCTTTAATCTGACTCTCTCTTGACGTTCTTTGACCAACGGTCCGTTTTTACTCCACAAAACTATGATGAACTTTTCGCACTCCCCTCAGCCCTCCACTTTCTGGTACAGTGATCTCCATGATGCCCTTTAACCTTTCACCATCCCTGCCCCGCTCTGTTATCCGTAAAACTGTTGCTCATCATCTCCCTTTTGCCACCTGTTGCCCTTCACTTCCTTACTGCAATGAAAGCGCTGTATAGCTCCTTGTGGCCCTTGGCGCTTTCTTTTTGATATATAATTCATATTTAATCATGTTTTATCTTTGACACTGTCTGAAATCAACCTGAATTTATTTTCTTTGACATTAATGACCAGACTACTGAGACAGGGAAAAATATTAATGTGGATGTTACATTCCTTAAGATGGTGGATAAATGGTTAAATTTTATTGTTTTCTGTCAGGTGTATCGGGAAGCTCACTAACAGTCAGTGACAGTCATGGAGCTCACTACAGTCAGTGACAGTCTATGGATGTTCCACTACGTCAGTTACCAGTCACTGGAGTACACTACAGTAGTGTCATTCACTGGAAGTCCAACTCCAGCTGTGAGGCATGATGTTACAATAGTTCACTACAGTCAGTGACAGTCACTGATGTTCAAAGTTCACACTACAGTCAGGTGACAGTCACTGACTGTATAGTGTTGTATGGTAGACGCATGGGCTACAGCTTAGGGTTTTGTATTCCACTCGATGTTCTGACCCTTCACCCGTACGCAGTCTTCGACTAAACAGTTAGGCTCCCCACCTTATAACGAATCCCCATCAACACTATATTTCAGTCAAGTTAAAGATTTCTAGTTACTCCTTGTAGTACAACATGTATATCGTTAAAATATGCAGATACAGTTAGTGTTGTGAAGACGATATGTAATCAGTCCATCAATCATGAAGACGTGTGTTTTGAGGGTGGGCGTACCCTAGTATGATATCTATTTTTAAGTTTGAAGCGACCAGTTTTCTGAGCCTTTTTACACTGTCCAAATGGTGTGGAGTACCTACACTGTAGATGTAAACATTGTAATCATTGTGAGGTTAGATACCTATCGAGTCCAACCATCTTCATTTTTCACACGTCTTTGGAGTCCTGGCCGTGGTGGGTCCACTCATCTCGGGTCTTGGTATTTGTGGGAGTCAATGTTTTCTGTTATCCTGGATGCAGAAATAGTCTTCTTAGTTCTGGCTTGATGGGAACTGTCATCTGGGTCATGGTTGAAGGACCAGTCTTGTGGGTGTTGGGTGTGGGACCAGTATGTAGGGGAATGGTTCGTGAAACCAGTTTTCCTGGGTCATGGTTGTGGGACCAAGTCATCAGAATCTGCTTGACTTGATGTCAGTGGCGTCCATGTTAAAATGTACTTGATGAGAGGTGACAGTGATATGTTGTTTTCTTCTTTAGGTGGTCAGCATCATATTCTGTGGTGTTTAATCTGTACTGGTTGTGTATTACATTGACAACTTTGTGAGGGCAGTCACCATCAGATTGAGAGACTGTACTGGTGTTAGCTACAATGACACTTTGTGAGGTCAGTCAACATTTGTGAGAGTATATGTCCTTTAGGGGAGCTCTGTACAAATACAAAATTTTAGAGATGACATCGCTGCAATTTTCAGGCAGTTTTTGTATGGTTCCTCAGACATTGTTTTGTGCTAAATTCTTTACCATTTCATGCCATTTTCCCTGAAGCTTCGCGATCAATTTTTTGCCAAATTAAAACACACAATAGAAAGCAGTTAGATACACTTTATATTGGTTGTCTGGAAAATAATCAAAGAGTAAAATGGATTTTATATCATTTTTGGTTGAGGAAATTTGTAATATTCAATTGTAATGGGGTTATATCATCATCCAAATACTTAAATTTTTAATGCTATTACAAGTTTATAAGTGACTGTATCTTCTTGGTTTGCATGCAGAACTTGGGCATCTCTTTCCTGGGAAATTATTCTGTCTGATAGATCAATCTCATTGACTTTGTCAAGTTAGTTCAGTGCATGCTTCAGTCTGTGGCCTGGTGGATTAAAGCCTCCCGCTTCTCTACACCACGGTGGGACCGGGGTTCGATTCCCGGCGGGTGAGAATTTTTCGACACGTTTCCTTACACCTGTATTGTCATGTTCACCTAGCAGCAAAATAGGTTACTGGGTGGTTAGTCGTTGGTGTGGGTCGGCTCCTGGGGGACAAGATTAAGGACCACAATGGTAATAAGTTAGACAGTTCCTCGATGTAGCACTGATTTCTTGGGTTATCATGGGGTGGGCTTTCATTCAGGGGGTTATATATTCCGATATTCACGTAATCTTTAATCATATCTTTTCAGGTGTTATCCCTCAGACTGCTTGGTGTTGTTTGGCCACTTAGGTACCTACAGTGGATGTCTCAGGTATTTTTCAGAACCTGTTGATCTGGAAAGAGATCTACAATGCAGGATGGCTCAGTTTTTTGTGTTTCAGTCATCCTCAGTCAGTAGGTCCTTGGAATGATTTGTTCTTTGCTTGCAACTTTGTTTTGTGTATCACTGTTTTTTCTTGAGTTGACTATAGGAGCCACATTGTCTTTCTCACTACACTGTCAGCCTCCACCCAGTGTTGATTTACAAGTCATCGTCTCAAAGCTTCTGCAATAAATAACTTTGACTTTTGTTCGTCCTTGGTATAATGTCAGAGTTCATTAAGTTAGCCCGGTTGCAATGACAGCTTCATGCTTAATCAAGGATCATAGGTATCGGTCACTTGTGACTGTCCAGTGTGGGGGGAGTCTAAGGTTTCTGTTCTGCTGTGTGTTGATGGCAGTCAGGACCATTCATGCACAGAGTCTGAATCAGTATCTACTGAAGGGCTATCTCTGGCATCATTTGACATTATCGTCAGAATCAGAAACTTCTTCCGGCTCTCTGTCCCCTTTCCTCAGCTGCTTTCCTGGCTCTGGCTGCCATCATGCTCCTTCATTTACCGTCACGCTTTCCCCACATCCTCATTACTGTCAACGTCAACACAGAAAATGTTCACCTCCTTATCGCCTCTCAGGTCAAGGAGGAACTGTACCTCACGTGTATGAACTTTAATAACACAATTATAGGCCAGGTGGTATTGGTCACACTCCTTATTTTGCACCTACATCTTGACAGGAGCAGCAAAACAGAAACAACTACAAATATCAAACAACTCGTTTATTTCATCCTGAAATGTAGCTTTTTTGAAGACATTTTTGTTCTCATTAAGTTCTATTCCACTACTGTACAATTTTCTAAATTTTTCCTTAATAGTTTTCTGGCTGAGAACAGGAATAGTATTTCTGTCTCCAACTGATTTCTGCCATAGTTCAGAAGAATCCTAAGCTGTTGTCTTGATAATCACTGTAACATCAATCAGCTTTCCTTCATCACACTTATATCACCAGCAGTTCCTTAACATATCGACTTTGGATGGAAGCTTGTTCAATGGAAGAACACAGGCCAAACAATGTATATTATGGGGCTTTTCTCGTTGACATTGTAGCCATCTCAGTAGTAAAATATATAAGTAACCAGAATATCTGAAAAGAGAGAAAGTTAGTTAATGTTTATCAATACTGTAGAGTACATAAATACAGGACATTAAACACTGTACTGCGCTGCTCAGTAATACAGACATTCCAAAATTACAATCACAAATGCTGTAGTAACCTCAACTAATCAACTTCATATTTGGCATTAAATCTTACATATATAGAACAATGCCTGAAGAGTGCAGCTATGACCAAAATGTCAATACTCACTACTGTTCTGGTGTTGCTACAATGACACTTTGTGAGGTCAGTCATCATCAGTGAGAGACTGTACTGGTGTTACTACAATGACACTTTGTGAGGTCAGTCATCATCAGTGAGAGACTGTACTGGTGTTACTACAATGACACTTTGTGAGGTCAGTCATCATCAGTGAGAGACTGTACTGGTGTTACTACAATGACACTTTGTGAGGTCAGTCATCATCAGTGAGGGACTGTACTGGTGTTACTACAATGACACTTTGTGAGGTCAGTCATCATCAGTGAGAGACTGTACTGGTGTTACTACAATGACACTTTGTGAGGTCAGTCAACACCAGTGAGTGACTGTCCTGGTGTTATTACAATGACACTCACTTGATACATTCATTGTAACCACTTAATACATTATAAACCACAATCAACATATACACAATATAATAAATTGTTGCGTTATAGGCAATAATGACTTGATACATTATACATGACTATGACATATTTTTACACAATAATGACCAGAAACATTAAACATTTTAAAGACCTGAAACATTATACTTCATAACTGAAATATAATTTATCAAATATATGAAAGTGATCTGATTTGTTGTGCACTATAATGACTTTATACATTGTTCATCATAATTTTCTGATACATTATATAATGTGATGACATTGTTCAGTATAAATGTTCAGTGTTGGTGATAATCAACAATTATCTCTCCCTCAGCTAGCAGTTGTCACCACATGTTCAGTGTTGGTGATAATCAACAATTATCTCTCCCTCAGCTAGCAGTTGTCACCACATGTTCAGTGTTGGTGATAATCAACAATTATCTCTCCCTCAGCTAGCAGTTGTCACCACATGTTCAGTGTTGGTGATAATCAACAATTATCTCTCCCTCAGCTAGCAGTTGTCACCACATGTTCAGTGTTGGTGATAATCAACAATCATCTCTCCCTCAGCTAGCAGTTGTTACCACATGTTCAGTGTTGGTGATAATCAACAATCATCTCTCCCTCAGGTATAAACTCACAGTGGGAGGCTACACCAGCACCAGCACCAATACACTTGGTGATGCACTTGCGATTGACATAAACGGCAGGAGTTTCACCACATTGGACCGTGACAATGACGAGTCAGATGGTAAGTGATGAATAAGCAAGTTTATTCAGGTACACACAAATACAGTTACATAGAATTATCATACATAGCAGCATATGTGTAGAGAACCTGGGATAACCCAAAAAAGTCAGAGTAACTTATTTCCATTGTGATCCTTTAAGGGTTTACAACAAAGTAACTTGTATGTGTATTAATGTTGCTGCTGCTGTTGTTGTTGTTATTATTATTAGTGAATTATTATGTTTTATTTTCATTTTTCTTTAATTTTTATTGTAATAAAATCATAATAATAATAATAATAATAATTATCTGAGATCTTACACTCCACAGGGAACTGTGCTGTACATCGTGGTGGAGGCTGGTGGTACAACAACTGTGCCTGGGCCACTGCCACCTCACCACTGTGTAACATTGCCGATGACGAGAGGGTGCTGTACTGGCGCAACTTCAACCCAGGTGAGGATGGTCACCGCACTAGTCTCTCCCAGCTACTGATGATGATTACCACTGACACTACCACCACTGACACTACCCAAACTCAACACTGATAGTACCACCAATGGCATTACCACAACTACCAACACATAACACTGGTTCTACCACTACTACCACCACTCAACACTGACACTACCATCAATAACACTACCACAACTACCAACACATAACACTGATTTTAAGACCACTACCACCACTCAACAACTGACACTACCACCAGAATTATTATATTTTATATATATATAATATATATATATATATATATATATTATATATATATATATATATATATATATATATATGTCGTGCCGAATAGGCAGAACTTGCGATCTTGGCTTAAATAGCAACGCTCATCTTGCCATGTAGGACAAGTGAAAATTTTGTGTATGCAATAATTTCGCCAAAATCATTCTGAACCTAACGAAAAAAAATATTTGATTATGTCTGTTAAGTACTAAATTATTGTAAACGTATTTAAAATATATTTTGTTGGGTTAGGCTAAAATAAATGGTTCTTGTTATAATAAGGTTAGGTAAGTTTTTTAAGTTCCTTTTGGTGCAAAATTATAAATTTTTACATTAGCATTAATGAAAAAAATATATCTTTAAACGTATAAGAGAAAATTTTAGAAAGGACTTAATTTTAAATGAGTTCTTACTAATTGACAGTTTTACATATTCGGCCACGACATATATATATATATATATATATATATATAATATATATATATATTATATATATATAATATATATATATATATTCTTGATTACCAAGAAAAAATTAATAATCTCTTAGATGATACTGAAACCTATTCTAAGCTCAGAAAGAATCCCTGGGAGTGATCATGTCGGAGGATCTCAATCGCATCTGCTAGAAAAATGGCAGGATGGATAATGAGAACTTTCAAAACTAGGGATGCCAAGCCCATGATGATACTCTTCAGGTCGCTTATTCTATCTAGGCTGGAATATTGCTGCACACTAACAGCGCCTTTCAAGGCAAGCGAAATTGCTGACTTAGAAAATGTACAGAGAACCTTCACGGCGCGCATAACGGAGATAAAACACCTCAATTACTGGGAGCGCTTGAAGTTCCTGAACCTGTATTCCCTGGAACGCAGGCGAGAGAGATACATGATTATATACACCTGGAAAATTTTAGAGGGACTAGTACCAAACTTGCACACGAAAATCACTCTCTCTGAAAGCAAAAGACTCGGCAGACGATGCAACATTCCCCCAATGAAAAGCAGGGGTGTCACTAGCACGTTAAGAGACAATACAGTAAGTGTCAGGGGCCCAATTATTATTATTGTAATAAAAAAGAAGCGCTAAGCCACAAGGACTATACAGCGTCAGGGGCCCAAGACTGCTCAACTGCCTCCCAGCATACATAAAGGGGATTACCAATAGACCCCTGGCAGTCTTCAAGCTGGCACTGGACAAGCACTTAAAGTCGGTACCTGACCAGCCAGGCTGTAGCTCGTACGTTGGATTGCATGCAGCCAGCAGTAACAGCCTGGTTGATCAGGCTCTTATCCACCATGAGGCCTGGTCACAGACTGGGCCACGGGGGGCATTGACCCTGGAACTCTCTCCAGGTAAACTCCAAGTAGAAACCGTTAACAGCAATTTCAATAAAACAATAAAACTTCTACTGAAAGGCAAAGATGAATTAGTCAAACAATTTACTTCCACTAATCCATCTTTACCTTACATGTATGGACTAATAAAAACACACAAACCAGGGAATCCAGTCAGACCAATTATTAGCTCCATAGGGTCAGTTTCATATAAATTATCCAAATGGCTTGTTGATATTTTGAGCCCTATTGTTGGCAAAATTTCTAACTTTAATGTTAAAAACAACATAGACTTGGTTGATAAATTAAGCTCCTTGACTGACTTAAATGATTTTAACATGGTTAGTTTTGGTGTTACTTCCTTGTTTACGAAAGTTCCTGTTGATGATTTATTAAGTTTCTTATCTGAAGAACTCGTTAATTATGATTTACCATTGCCAGTTCCTACTATCATTAAACTTATTAAACTTTGCATTGTTGATGCAAAACTTGTATTTAATAAGTTTTACACTCAGAAGTTTGGTATGGCAATGGGAAATCCTCTTTCACCTGCTCTCAGTAACCTATACATGGAGTTTTTTGAAACAAGGTTGCTTAACACAATCCTCCCTAATAGAGCTAAATGGTTCAGATATGTTGATGATATTTTATGTCTTATGCCCAAGAATGTAGATATACACCATTTCCTTGGCAAATTAAATAGCTTAGCCCAATCTATAAAATAACTCATTGCCTTTTCTAGATGTTTTAATTATTAAGAGTAATAATGAATTCAAATTTAAAAATTACAGAAAACCTACAAATAACTGTTCCAATGTACACTATTGTTCTTCACATCAAGATAGATGTTAAACTGTCTGTTTTCTCATCAATGTTTGAGAGCTTTACGTATTTGTAGTCCAGAGTTCATAGATGAAGAAATATCCAAAATTTATGAAATAGCTAATGATCTAAAATACCCAAGAAACGTAATTGATAAATCTTTTAAAATTGCTAGAAATACTTTTTACAATCCAAAAAGGGACACCCAGCTTTATTCAACTAAAAATATGTTGGTTCTCCCTTACCATGAAAACTTGGTTGATATGCCTTCTCTTCTTAAGACTTAATATCAAAGTTGTATTTAAAAATCTTGATACAGTAAAAAAAAACTTTTTATAAAGAATTTCCCCCCCAAAATGCTGACAGATGTGTCTATAAGATTCCTTGTAAAATTGCAATAAAGTTTATGGTCAAACTGGTTGAAAGTCTCGAACTAAGATTAAAACAACATAAATATAGCATTAGAACTGGACAAGATTCCAATGCTCTATTTATTCATGTGAGAGATTTTAACCATCCAATTGATTTTCAAAAAGTTGAGAAAGTTGTATCAAGCAAGTCCATGGTCGACAGAAATATAATTGAATTTTGTTTCATAAAAAGCAGTTTTGAAAATAACATATTTCCTTTGGATTATATTAATTAGATCAATTTATAATTAATAAAATTTGGGAAGAATTTAATAATACACTGGACAAATAATCTTAATTCTTGGGTAGTATATTTTGCTAGTGGGATGTCGTAAGGACCTGTATAGTTGAGCCAGAGGGCCTGCTGCAGTGTTCCTCTTTTCTTATGAGTCGGGTCTCGTCGCACGTCAGGCGTTGCTTGTTGTGGGATGTGATGGCGACATGTGGTCTCGACCCTTTATATGCCTTCCTTTGATGTATTACTTTTATAGTTACTTGATAATGTGAGAAGTCACGAAAGCACTTGGAATTTCCTACTATTTCACAGTCACTGTTTTGCATATATATATATATATATATATATATATATATATATATATATATATATTATATATATATATTTTATTATATATATATATATATATATATATTTGGTATGGTAAACATGAGGAAATTAAAACTTCATCAGAGTATAAAACAAATTCCAGCCACACAATAGAGTGAAAAACCAAAGTCAAAGACTTGGGAGTGATCTTGTCGGAGGATCTCACCTTGAAGGACCATAACATTGTATCAATCGCATCTGCTAGAAAAATGACAGGATGGATAATGAGAACCTTAAAAATTATGGATCCCAAGCCCATGATGACACTCTTCAGGTCGCTTGTTCTATCTAGGCTGGAATATTGCTGCACACTAACAGCACCTTTCAAGGCAGGTGAAATTGCCGACCTAGAAAATGTATGGAGAACCTTCACGGCGCACATAACGGAGATAAAACACCTCAATTACTGGGTGCGCTTGAAGTTCCTGATCCTGCGCTCCCTGGAACGCAGGCGGGAGATACATGATTATATACACCTGGAAAATCCTAGAGAGACTAGTACCAAACTTACACACGAAAATCACTCTCTCTGAAAGCAAAAGACTCAGCAGACGATGCAACATCCCCCAATGAAAAGCAGGGGTGTCACTAGCACGTTAAGAGACAATACAATGAGTGTCAGGGGCCCGAGACTGTTCAACTGCCTCCCAGCATACATAAGGGGGATTACCAATAGACCCCTGGCTGTCTTCAAGCAGGCACTGGACAAACACCTAAAGTGGGTACCTGACCAGCCAGGCTGTGGCTCGTACGTTGGATTGCATGCAGCCAGCAGTAACAGCCTGCTTGATCAGGCTCTGATCCTCCAGGAGGCCTGGTCACAAACGGGCCGCGGGGGCGTTGACCCCCAGAAACTCTCTCCAGGTAAACTCCAGGTGTGTGTGTATATATATATATATATATATATATATATATATATATATATATATATATATATATATATATAATATATATTATATCAGTACACTGCACTAGCCAAGAACTGGACCCCATGTTGTACTGGCCTGCCTCATGGTGAGCCAGAACCACATTATGGAAAATTTTATAGGGGTGTTACGTGTATGTACCTCAACATTACATGCATACGAGTAATCTCATTGGGAGACAACAACCATATTGTTTACCGTAGTCACCCCATGTAGACATGAGAAAACTTAACCACCCCTGGTCACTGCAGATGGTTCCTTCGGCCTCATAATCATATCCATATCTATCCGAGACCAGTATAAATTGGATAGCACCCACAAGTACGGTGCTACTAATTAATTGTGGACTGTATAGATTATATTAGTTTAACTGAATGAAGGAGAGGGGGTAGGTTACACATGGATATATCCGTCAAGGAAAAACACTTGTATATAATCCCACCACTTACCAGATATTCTCTGGTGGTCACTTGATGTAGCTGGATCACCCATTACCTATCCAATTACAACATACCTAACTGGCCAGTATCAGTCTGCTATAACTAGAAAGATTACTTAACTGTGGGTGATTGATGCTCCTTATTTCCTCCATTCTCCATCTCATTTCGATGTCCTGCTACACCGACACAGTTCTTATTCCAGCAGGACGAGGTATCCGTTGGTTTGTCCCGGTTTAGAAGTCGTGACTCCATAAAAACCTCACTATTCTCGGGACGGGAACCACGAGGTCTAACGTGTTCACTCGGAGCAGGGCGATATATTTCACTTAATGCATTCTCTTAACTTAGTGTTATTATCATTGATTACATTACAAGTCACAAGACGATTTAATGTCTCATAATTATTATACACATTAGAGGTCACTCCATTAA